AGGTCTGGCCATAAACACTTGTTACAAATTAAATACGTCTGAATTCACAGTCTAGCCATATAAAAGAGTCTTCTCCACACCAAACATTTTTTTTCAATCATCAACTAGGAGGATTTAAAATCAAAATCCAGAATCATCAAAATCTCTTTTGAATCTAACTTTTTACCCACATAAAACACCTGTAGTGACCCAAACCAGATAACATTTACGATTAGTAGATTGGAAAATATGTTCATCACTCGCAATTCGACATTGGAACCACTATCCATTGGTTCTCTTCCCACAAACATTTTATCTTTGAAATTGCTATAAAACTATATTATAGGATTTAATTTATATATTCAGGTGGGAGAATGATTAGATGGTAGAGAAAAAAAAACATATGGGGTTTGGTGGGAGAGGAATGGTCGATAATATTTGATATATTTAATATTTATATCAAATTAGCATCATCATGTTGTCATATTTGATCATGAATGGTTAGTGTTTATGATCTTAAGAATTGCATGTACAATATTTGTTTCCCAATATTTTAGCCTAACGACATAAAAATGAGGCTTGGATGAATCAGCCGGAGTGGTAGTTGATTTTGTCTCGTTGCATTTCTTTTGCAATCTCAATATAGATAATGATAGATAAATTTGTCAAAAATTTATTAATGTATACGTATAAATAATAAGTCATTTTCATTAGCTAAGCAATAATAGATTAAAATTTAAGATTTATAATTTTATTTTCTAGTAATCATGTACTATTTTATTACTCTGTTATAATTTACAAAAAGTGTGTTAAAGAAAATCCAAAATGTAGTATAATATTATCATTTAAGAGGAGTCAAGAAGAATGGTGAAATGATGAGTGGGGAGGTAGGTGGGAGAGATTTCATGTATGGTGGTTGGTGGCATTTTAGGATCTGCCGCGTTGTTCAGATTTTTTTTTTTTTAACTTGAATATTAGATAATATCTTTTTTTTTGTTAAAAATATTTTATCAAATAAAAATATTATATACATTTAATGAAATGTATTTGTTATCAAATAAATATTAATAATTTCATACAAATATTACTAAGATTTATAAAAACTAATTTTGCATAAGCTGTTTTATCCTATATTACAAAAGTTTTAAGAAATTATATGAAATACTATGCTTTGTTTGTACCATTTTACGAATGCAAATATATAATTTAATACAAACTTAATATATATATTATATGTTCATATCATTGATCTAACTATTAATAACAATTTGATTTCGTTTTACGTGTCAAATAGCTAATCGGACTATTAAAAAATGGGAAAATCAAAAGCATGTATTTACAAGAGATGAAAACATCGACCATTTTGAAAAGGTTGACATGATTTTAATCAATTCTATAAACCAATCTAAAAGGTGAACAACATTGTATTATATAATTAATCCATAATTCCATATAATTATTAACCAATAAACCGTGTCACTTGATTTGCCTAACAAAGAGACAAAGAGACAAACGCACACAAAAGGTGATGACTTTCATAAACAACAAAAGAATAAGTAACAAATTAATTAAAGGTGCTTTTGCAAAAATGACACTTTTTCAATGCCACTTTTCAAAAATACATCTTTTTAAAATTTTATAAAAAATGCTCTTAAAAATATAAGACTTACCCAAATATGTATGTAATATTATTAAAACATACACAAACTACATTTCTATGTATCTACAATCTTATAAATACTTAATAAATACCTTATAAATGCATTTTAAATACCTTTAAAAACCTTTAAAATATCTTGTAAAACCTTTGAAAAACCTTAAAAATCTTTTAAAATAACTTGTAAAACCTTTAATAACACCTTATAAAACCTTATAAATACTTGGATCGAGTCTTCAAGTAGTAGTTACAATCCATAAGTACCTTATAAACCTAATAAAACTTTATAAAAATTTCAGATTTAAAAAGGAGTATTTTTGAAAATGAACATCTAAAAGGGGCATTTTTGAATAGGGGCACACCAAAAGGGGTATTTTTAACAATTTCCCTTAATTAAATCACGACAACAACAAAAACTTTGTTTGGTCGAAATTGAATTAAAAAAAAAACTTTTATCATAGAATTGGAAGGTTAAACAATTTTTTTTTAAAAAAAACTTTTTATATTAGGTTATAAAAAAAATACCAAAAGCAGGTTTTAATATTCTGTTTTGGAAGAAATTGCAAGATTCACAATATTTTTGTCATCTTTTTAGCAAATTAAATGTCTTTGATCAAGTCACTCTTTAAAGTTTAAATTTTTAATGTTGAAGACACTCTACTTGTCTCGGAAGTTTTAATGTTTTGTCATTAAACAAAGCATGTGTTATTGAGGCATGTGAGTCGAATTGTTGACGATTAAGTGCAAATTTTGGCCGTTGGTCAAAGAATAAAATCTAAATATAAATTTATTTAGTTTTGTTTATGTTTAGACTGAATTAATAATTGATATCGAAACAAAATCATATATTTAAGAATCTCAATTTTATTAAAAGATTGACTCAAATCCAAACAATATATAGCATTCAACATTGTCATTTTCGCATCCGTATTTAACCTCATGTGATATGTCTATAATTTGCATGTTTTATACATCCATTTATCACCATTTTGAGTCTAATTTCATTTATCTTTCATAGCATTCATCATCATTTCGCACATTTTGCATGTTTAAGTGTGTCTAGCATTAGTCTTGCATGCATTTAGCATTCTGGAGTTGTTTGAGGTGCTATTGATGTTCAGAAAGAGGAAAAACAGAGTTGAAAGTCACATTTGGACCATTCTACTCGATCACCAGTAGCAGAAAGGGAAGCAGTCAGCTCAGCAGATCATCCAGTCTAACCTTATACTCGATCACAGAGAAGAGAAGGCAGTCCACCTGACAGACTACCCTTATACTCGATCACATAGGAGGAGAAGCAGTCCATCCAGACTGTTATACTCGATCACAGAGAAGAGAATGCTGTCCATCCCGACAGTCTACCAACATACTCGATCACAGGAGAGAAGAAGCAGTCCAGATCATGCCATCAACCATTCTACTCGATCACCACCTCGACCCTCTGATCAATCCGCACTCAACCAGACAACCTGAGCATAGGAAAGAGAAGAGGAGAGAAGGAACCACTTGATCGCGGCTTCGATTCACGCTCGACCATGAAGCCCACTTTGAGCCCATACTCGACCTCCCTTGTCCATGGTGTGGATGTAGGATTCACACTCGATTGTCTTTAAATATTTCAGTGGAGAAAAACTCTTGTAAAATCAGGAAATGAATATGAGAATTTGAAAAGGAAATCAACTAAGAAAAGAAGTAAAGGAATTTGACGAGAGCGAAGTACAAAATGCCTTGTAGTAAAGAGAGAAAAATGTATTGTATTGCTTAGAAGTAATGAATAATGAGATCTGTCTCCCAAACACATGCGTTTGAGGTTGTTTTTATAGAGAAAACATGATCAATGCGGTCATTTACTGCTCATAATCGCATTGATCCGCATTAATCATATAAGTTACAACTTGACCAAAACGGCTTGAATTCGAACTATCTTGGGCTTCGCGTGGATCTTCCGAACTCTTTCTTGTTGACTCCGAACTCCCGCGTCTTGACGCTGCCGCGAGCCTCGAACAATATTCTCCTCGCTTCGGCCTTTCTCTATGCGAACTGTATGTTGAATAAGAGCGAACTCCATACTGGCAAAGATCGAGCTCTTTTAATAAACCGGAACAAACTCCCGACTAGTTAAGCTCGACTCTCATAATAAAATATCTTTAATTCTAAGAGGATTATTATGTAATAATGACGTGGACAGATCCAAGTGGATCCTACCGAAAATGTGTGGGATCCGACCCCAACAGTAATTAAACAGTAATTAATACCTAGAGATCTTTTAACATTCCAGAATTATTCCATGTTTTACGCTATTACGCCTATCTCGGATAATCAAATGATTTGATATCCCTGACAACCGTCATCATTAATTTTCTAATTTTATATTAATACTGCGGGGAAAACTGTCCCACTTCCCAATATTCTCGAGGCGGTCTCTCATCATACTTTAGGGTTCTAAGAGGTAACATTACTTTTCCATCTTATCTTCTTTACCTAGAAAACTTTCATTCATTTTACAGAAGTCATTGTTTCCTTTCGGTAAAAAATCCCTTTCGTAAAATGTCGAACCTTTCTTCTGAATTTTGCGAATATGAGGCTGACGATATCGAAGCTCTCATGGGTGAAGGAACCGAACCTCAAATCCCAACCGGAAACAGGTTTGATCTTCACCCCAGAGTGAATCGACTGTCAATTCTCTTAACGATCTTCGTAGATTATGTCACATCCCCCCTGAGGTGGAGATGGTAGTTCCAGAGCCCTTCGAGTCTTCGGAGTCAGGGCGAGAAGGTTACTGCTGCGCCTATGAAATTTATTTTAAAGGGTGCGGCTTATTCTTTCCCCTTCCTGAGATACTTCTCGTTTACCTCAACCATCTGGGAATTGGTTTCTCTCAGATGTCGCCCAACATGCTCCGGTATCTTTTGTGTACCTTCACTATTGCGGCGAAGGCGGGCTACTCATTGGGACTTTGCGAACTCTTGGAACTTTTCCAAGCTCGCGAATCCCGAACTTCTGGGTATTATGCCGTTTATCCGATCGCGGATCGGAATCTTATTGACGGCCTGCCTTTAAAGGACAACGCCTGGAGGAAGTTTTGGTTCTTCTTCCGCATAAATAATTTTTCTATTCAGAGTTCTTCCGAACTCCTTCAAACTCACTGGTCATCGAATTTGGGTAGAAATTAGGACTTAACTGAATAAATTTCCTATGTTATTTCAAACTGCGTTTCAACATATACTTGTTTCCTCGCAGGTCCCCAGATTCGGCCAGTTCCATCCGTTGATTTTCTTAAATTCTACAAGGCCGTCTTGGAGAGGCCAGTTAACTGGAATTCTTTTACTTTAGAAAGAATTCACGGTGCCGAATTTCTGTCAGAATGAGCCTAACTCACCCCGTCGACCTTCCTCCTGTTGAGATTGATCTCTCGAGTCTGAATGCCCGAGATAGGAGAAAGATCAAAGAGGCAAACAAAAACGTCAAAGATCAAATTTCCCTGGTCGGGAAAAACCAGAAAAATGCAACCTCTACCGGGGACGACAAAGTCTACCGGAAAACTCTCCTAGTTGACGATGGATCTCTTGAAGGTTCAAAGTCAATGGCGGTTGCTGTGAACAACGCTCCTTCCCCCATCCCAGCAGCAGACAACGTGGTTGCTGCCACTGCTGAAAAAGAAGGCCTTACAAGTGATTCTTCTCTTACGAAAAAGAAGAAGGCTGAGGAACTTGAACCCCCGCTCCAAGGACGTCCCAAAAACACAAGGAAGGGCAGAGCCGCTTCTTCGAATCTGCCAATTCCTGAACCTGCTGAAGCTCAGGACGTAAATCCTTATTCAGGAATTGTTTTAAAGGAACCGTTGGGTTCAGGGATATTACCCCCTAGACGTCCCCGAGGTAATACCTCTAGGGTTCGATCGTCTCCGAGCTCAGGACTTGTTGCCAGAGCTTCATCCCAATCAGGTAACCTTTAATTGTCATACTGTTACTTGAGATTAATCGACCTTTTTTTTTAGAAGCTCAAACCTCACATAACTATCTTTATTCTAGATAAAGAGAAGATTGGGAATATGTTTAGGTGCTTCCACACCCGCTTTGGGAATAACTCCCGTCCTTTGAGTGGTGGAAGCCTTATATCAAAAAGATGTATATCAGTCATTCATTCCATTCCTCCCAGGTTTGACTATTTGCATCCTTGAACAACCAATATTGAAAAAAAAAATTTACTAATGCATCTTCTTTCATTAGGCAACTCTGGACGTGAATGGCATCATCAACTATTACGAAGAGGAGCTTGCCAAAGTTTCCAAGAAAGCTGCTGTTGCTAAAGGAGAGATCGAGAAACTGCAATCTTCCAGTCGGCTTGTGCAGGAGACTGCTGGCCTCGACTCGGCTCGCCAGGAAGAAATCGAGAGACTCGAAAGATCCGGCGAGGAGACAAGGAAGACTTTGATTGAGACAAAGCAAAAACTAGAGACTGCCCTCGCTGATCATAGCTTCGCAAAAGGCGAGATCGAGCTTCTGAGATCAGAGCTTAACAGGGTTAAAACAGCTGCTGAAGAGCTCGAACGCAAAAATGAGTCTCTTTCCGAACTAAAAGATCGAGATGTTCGCAAAATATCTCATGATGCTCGGAAGGAGGTTAAGGGAGCAGGGCAAAAGTTTTTTCTTGCTGTGTAGGAATTTATCGCTGCAGACAAAGCTTGGAACAAACTTAACTCCGAACGTGATGAGATGAAGAGCATTCTCGATCTGATCAAGGAGATAGAGGACGGAACAGTCAACTTGGCTGAAGAAAAAGAGACAGTTGGCGCTGAGCTCGCTGAGACAGAAGCTAAGCTAGCTACTGCTCCTCAGCCATATTTGAATTTTTAGCAGTTTGTTTCTGAGTTCGCTGATTGCCCTCCACTGACTGAACCAAATGTCGGTTTGTCTTCGGACGAGAAGATGTTAACTGGTTCTCATCGCGCTCATTTTAATGAGTTCGGAACCAATGTTGACAGACTCTCCTTGGGACGAACTCAGGGGTTCTTTGGTCAAGATCCTGCCATCTCCTCGATTATGGGAGACGGCCTTGAATTAAGGAGCGAACCTCCTCAAGACGCTAGCTCGCTTAACCCTAAGGTGGTTCCCACAACTCAAGAAGCTGTCATAGGGGGGGCTCTTGTCTCAAGCCAAGTAGGATATGAAGGCGGTTCGCCTATAAATGAATGATGGTGATTGCATTCACCTTTTTATGGGGATTGTCCCTTTAATTTTAAGACATGAAATTCGCTTTGTTGGTCATGAGGCTTTTATTTCTGAGTTTTCTACCCAAGGGGGCTTTTAGTACTGTTTTGAATAATTAACCCAAGGGGATTTTCAATTAAAATTTCTTTAGAAAGAAATATTTAATCTTGGTGAAAACATTCGATTTTACCTAGAGGGTTTGCAAAGTCCTCCTAACCGAAATGGTTTTAGAATTATAGGAGAGATAGGCTGATCAGACCCACTTGCCTTTTTTAAAGAAAAAACATTGGAATTTTTCCTCGCTCTCTCGGTTGCGAGGTTAGAGCTCGGCTTACAAGAACACTTCGCAATACTTCGAATGTGTTCGATTAGAGAAATCTCCAGTGAGAACTGTTTGCTTTCTCTAAAAAGATAAAAAGGTGTGATACCATTTATTGATTGTTTTCGAATTTCGAGTTCGAAATTAAGTTTGCCTACTAGGTGTTAAGTGATACTTAAATAACCTATATTTCGTAGGTCTTGTTCATGCATGTACACGAAAATCGAAAGGTTGCAACTGTCAGATCAATAGATTGACGTTTAACTTCCTTTTTCAATAAATACTCAAGTGAGTAATCTTACATATTTTTCCTATATAAGGAGAGTAAGATTTTGGGAACTTCCCAATAAACCTTTTTCTTTGTAGTTCTCTTTTTCTTGTTCTCGATGGCCTCTCCTCAAGGCGAACCTTCTGGTCCTAATCCACCACGACTCCCTTCAAGTGAATCTCTTTTCCCGACGGGGGATGGATTCACTCCACAAGGGGTGGCCATTCCTTGTTTTCTTTCTTCCATGTCTAAGGAAGAAAAGATCGAGTGCCACGAATTCATGGAACAGGTTTGAACCTAATACCAGTTGTTTCAGGGTTTTACCCGATAGATTTGTAATGCATCTGTTCTTTGCAGATTACCGAGAGGTACGTTTTCCTCTGCTCCGAAAGGCAACGCCTTGGAAGAAAACGCCGTGTCCTTGAGGACAGGATTGCTAGAACGGAAAGGAAGATCCGACGTTTGGAGTCGGACGTTCACAACTGGGAGAGGAGGAGATTTGACTCTATCGCCCGCATTTCCGGCTGTCTTCGAGAACACATCAGGTTCCTGAAGAAGTATTGGGATATCTACCAAAGGAGCCTCAAACCCAACGAACGTGAAAACGGTTCGTCATCAGACGAAGTTCCTTCTGCGAACCCTCCTTCTTCTTAATTAAACTTTTTGTTTTTTTTTTGTAACATTCTCTTGGGCTGTCAGCAATATTAATCATATTCTCCTTTTTGCCTTAAATTTGCCGATTTACTCAAATCTTATTTAATGTGTTATAATTAGTGATTAACTCGATTTTATTTTCTATAAAAGTAGTAATTTCATATTTGGGAAATCGTCAATTAACCCTCTTAAATGCGGTCGAGTATTTTTCGAGTATAAAGCAGATGTAGATCGTTATTGAATTTAATCAACAATAATTCTACAAAAATGTTTGAAGAAGGTAATTTCTCAGAGAATCCCTCCGACTCGATTAAAAAGATAAGCGATGATCTTCCGGAAACGTCAGACATCGATCTTGTAAAAACGGAAGCCAATGGCGAACCATAAGAGTCACGCCCATTAGGGTGGGGAGCCAGCATTCAGGTTCCAAATGTGTTAATTGAGAGATCATCAGCTCAAGATCGTGTCAAGGCTAAAGAGTTTATTAACAAGGTATTGTTAAACCTAGTAACCTAACTCCTTTCGTTGTTTGCTAAACGAAGCGTTTTTGTTTTCTCAGCTTATTACTCGGCATAACAAGTTCGAAGATGAGAAAAAAGAGATTAGGAAAAGGATAATGGAACAAGAGAAGCGTCGCCTCGAAATTGCTCGCGAGCTTCATTGCCTCGAAGCCCATCCCTCCGATTGGATCGAACTAGGACTTCAGGAGTAAGGAAACATGCCAGGTTGTATTATGAGCATCGTTGACCTCGCAGGTCAAGGAGCAGAGCTATTCCGTAACTCAAGACCCTTCTAGATCTGGTTTTAGCTTATCTAGAAATATTTATTTATACATTGTTCGCAACGTATTTTTATATTCATGCTCGAATATTGAATTTATAAAAACAAGACTCCATGACTGGAATAATATTTTTATTTTTGTGTTATAGCTGGACTCGTGTTTAGCGAGCTGCCTACGTACCCAAAATAGGATCAAGCCAAATCGTAGTTCGATTGTGTTTGCTTTAGCAATAGAACTTTTTCAAGTTGATGATGTTCCAAGGCCTTTGAACGGGGTTTCCGTCAAGGTCTTGTAAACGGTAAACACTATTTCGGATTTTTTCTGTGATTTGATAAGGGCCTTCCCAGTTAATACCGAGTTTTCCAGCTTCTTCTTCTTTTGTGTTATCGAACACTCGCCTTAAAACAAAGTCTCCTACATTTAAAGGTCTGTTTTTCAACTTTGAGTTATAGTACCGAGCGGTCAATTGTTGATAGTTTTGGAGTCGAATAAGGGATTGATCTCGCCTTTCATCGATTGTATCAAGAACGTCTTCTAATAATTTAGAATTTAGTTCTTCGTTAAGAGGAGCTTCGCTCCGGCGTAAACCAGGAACATTCTGCTCGGCTGGGACTACAGCTTCCATCCCATACACTAATGAGAATGGAGTTTCTCCCGTTGCTCGTCTCGGGGTTGTTCGATATGCCCACAACACAGGTTGTAGCTCGTCATACCAACCACCTTTCCGAGCATTCAAGCGTTTTTTAAGATTGCTGAGGATGGTTTTATTGGAAGCTTCCGCTTGTCTATTTCCTTGAGGATACCTTGGCGTTGAATAGCTAAGTTTTATTCCCCAAGCGGAACAAAAATCTTCGAAATCATTCGAAATGAATTGAGGACCATTATCCGTTATGATCTCGTAAGGAACTCCATGGCGACAAATAATGTGTTTCCACAAGAATGTTTTTACCACAGAATCTTGTATATTTACGTAAGCTTCTGCTTCGATCCATTTGGAAAAATAGTCAGTTAGAACTAATAGGTATTGGACGCCTCGCGTTGAGCGATACATCGGACCAACTATATCCATTGAACACCTCATGAAAGGATATGGAGCGGATATAGATGATAAAATTTCAGATGGCTGGTGAATAAGGGGAGCGTGCATCTGACAGTTTTTCACCGTTTGGCGTAATCGATGCAGTCAGAAATCATAGTTGGCCAGAAATATCCTGACCGTTTGATTTTGATAGCCATTGCTCGTCCCAAAGAATGACTACCACAAAGCCCTTCGTGGACCTCGGGTCCGAAAATACATAAAAGATAAGGATCACTGACACCTCGCTTGTACAACGACTCTTTAATTATACAATACTTAGCGCTGATGATTTTTAATTTGCGAGCTTGCCATTTGTTCGATGGTAGTTCTCCGTTAAGAATGAAATTTTTGATGGGTACCCTCCAGTCAGCCCCCTAATCATTAGCGGAAGTATTATCCTTGAGTATAAACTTCCTTGGTTCGGGTTCGAAGGAATATCAGGATCCTCGATTGTTTCCCGAACTTCTTCATCACCTGGAGGTGTCTGTTCAGTTCGAGATGATTCTTTAGCGGGAACCTCTTGATCCTTTAACTTTCTTCTTGGCTTTCTTTTAGGAAGTTCTAGTGGTGAAGTAAGTTCATCATCTTGAGATTTTACTCGTGATCTGGTGACGACAAATGAACTATTTTCATTTCCGGAACTTAACTTTGGAATTTCGATATGCTCGTCTTCCAAACTGTTATCGTTTTTTGTTTCTTCAACCGAAATACTTCGCGAAAAAATACATTCAACTAGGATAAGTCGTTTGAGCTCGGGATCTGAGGTAGAGGCTAGGGCAGCTAAAGCGTCTGCCGAAGTGTTTTCTCCCCGAGGGATTCGAACTAATTCGAATTCTTTGAATTTTCCGGCTAATGTTTTGACAGCCGAAAGATAGGCTTCCATTCGAGGAGTCTTAGCTTCGTATTCTCCAGTGAACTGGTTTACAACTAGCTGAGAATCACAACAAGCTATTATTTTTTCTGCTCCAATTGCAACAGCAAGCCAAAGTCCTGCTAAGAGAGCTTCGTATTCTGCTTCATTGTTTGAAGCCGGAAACATTAATCGAAATGACTGTTCGATTATTTCCTTTGTCGGAGTTTCGAGCCTAATACCGATTCTGGATCCTTGTTTAGAAGAAGAGCCATCTACATGTAATTTCCATGTAGAGTTTGTTTCAATAAAGATTCCGTCATCCGATGGCAGTTCGGTCAGAAAATCAGCCAGAACTTGTGCCTTTGCGCTAGTTCGACTTTTGTATTCTATATCGTACTCACTGAGTTCGATAGCCCATTTCGCTAATCTACCGGACTGACTTGGTCTGTGAAGAATTGAGCAAAGTGGATGGGAAGTTAGAACTTCAATCAGATGAGATTGGAAATAAGGTCTAAGCTTTCTAGCAGATATGACTACTGCTAAAGCTAATTTTTCCATCATGGTATCTCTCGTTTCCGGACTGGTAAGAGATTTACTTATATAAAAAATCGGCTTTTGATCACCTCGATCCTCTCGAACTAAAACCCCACTTACAGAATGATTAGAAACCGAGATGTAAAGATAAAGTTTCTCATCTGACTCAGGTTTTGAGAGAACCGGTGGTGTTGTCAAATAAGTTTTGAGTTGATCAAAAGCTTCTTCGCATTGATCATCCCACCAAAACTTTTTGTTCCCTTTTAAAATCTGATAAAAAGGGAGACATTTATCGGTGGATTTCGAGATGAAACGATTCAACGCGGCAATTCTGCCCGTCAATCGCTGGACCTCTTTAATGTTTTTTGGTGAAGGCATTGTGAGGAAAGCGTTAATCTGATTACGATTTGCTTCTATTCCTCTTTTCGTGACTATGTAGCCTAGGAATTCTCTGGAAGGCACACCAAAAGAACATTTAGCAGGATTTAATTTCATTCC